CTCTGAAGCCAAAATGGAAGTTATACAAGTTCTAACTGAACCATCATGGGATTTCCTTTACAGGTGTTGCTTTTTTCAGTTCATTCACTTTTGATTTTATAAAATTGGTATTCAAGTAATATACGCTCATTTCTTGAACATTTGGAACATACAAGATATTACAAAGAAGAAAATAACAACAATCCATAATTCTATTAGTGGGTGTGATTGCTGTTGATATTTTGGTGCATTTCTTTCTATTCTTGTGTGTGTGCGTGTGTGTGTGCACGCATGTGCGCACATGCATATGTGTGAGTTCATGAACATGGCTGACAACATATGGCACATGTATCTTTGATTTCACTTGTCCTAAAGCCTCAGGTCCCAAATGTAAATAGACACAGCTTGGCCATATGAGGACACAGGCCACTGCCTGAGGTGGCTGGGTTCCCACAGGTGTTACAAAAGGGAAAGCATTCAGAGAAGGAAAACACAAGCCATACACCAGGAGAAAATCTTGGCTGAAGACAGATCTGATAAAGGACTGGTATCCAAAATACACATAGAACTCTTAAACCTCAACAATAAGAAACAAACCATCCAATCAAAAAACGGGCAAAAATCTGGACACCTCACCAAAGGAGATCTACAGATGACCAATAAGCACATGAGAAGATGCTTGACATCATATGTCATTAAGCAATTACAAATTAACACAATAATGAGATATACTACACACCTATTAAAATGACTAAAACCCAAAACACTGATACCACCCAACGCTGGCAAAGATGTGGAACAATGGGCATCCTCATTCATTGCTGATGGGGACGCAAAATGGTACAGCCACTTTGGAAGATAGTTTTGCGGTTTCTTACACAACTAAACATACTCTTACCATACAGTCCAGCAGTCATGCTTCTTGGCATTTACCCAAAAGAGTTGAAAACTTACATTCACACAAAAACATGCACACAGGTGTTTGTAGCACCTTTACGCATGATTGCCAAAACGTAGAAGAAACCAAGATGTCTCTTAATAAGAGAATGGATAAGAAACTGTGGTCCATCCAGACAATGGAATAGTATTCAGCAATAAAAAGGAATGAGCTATCAAGCCACAAATGACACGGCAGAACCATAAATGCATATGACTAAAAGAAAGAAGAGTACACACTGTACGACTCCAACTCTATGACATTCTGGAAAACGCAAAACAAAGACGACAGTAAAAAGATCAGTGCTGAGCCAGTCCTGAGGGCCCGTGCTCTCACCACTTCCGTGTCCCAGGTTCTGTTCCCGGTAGCAGAACCACACCACCCGTCAGCTGCCATGCTGTGGCAGCAGCTCACATAAAAGAACTAGAAGGACTTACAGCTGGAATATGCAACTAGGTACTGGGGCTTTGGGAGGAGATAAAAAAGGATCATGTTGCCGTGGGTTTCGGGGGAGGGAGAGATGAATAGGTGAAGCACAGGGCATCTTCAGGGCAGTGAAATATTCTGTAGGAAACTATAACGGTGGATACATGTCACTATACGTTTGTGCAAACCCACAGAATGCACAGTACAAAAAATGATCCCTTAATGCAGACCACGGCCTTTAGTTAATAACAATGTATCAACGTTGGCTCAGCAGTTATAACAAATGTATCACAAGAGGGGACAACGTGGGCAGGGGGGTATATGGAACTATACTTTCCACTCAATTTTCCTGTATACCTAAAACTACTCGAAAAAACAAAATCTATTCATTTAAAAATAAAAAAGGGAAGAGAGAAGAACAGCTCTGAGGAAGCCCGGTGACCCCGGTCCCCCGGCTGGAGTGTTTCCACCTCTGCACATCAGGAAACCCGTCCAGTGCTTAGAGATTCCATCCCTCAGAAGCTTCCTGGCTGCCACTCCTCTGACGAGTTGATGTCCAAAAATTTCCCAGAGACGCTGCTTGGGCAGTTCTTCTAGAAGTGTGCTTGGCGCTCAGCACGGATCCCGATGGCTGGAGACCTCATTCAGCCGGTTCCTTACTCCCACGCAGGTTTTTGTTGTTGATCTTGTCGGGTCAACTCACAAATGAACTGACTTGTGCCTCCAGAGCAGAATCCAGGTCAGCCGGGCCTGCACCCCTTCCTCAGGGCCCATCTCCTCAACAGCAAGGGAAAGGAGCGCCCCAGATCATTTCCACTCCGCAGGCTGGACATCCCCCCCAAAGCCCCGTCCTTGCTTCTTCCATCTCCAACACAGACACCTCAATGCCTCAGAAAGCACTGACGTGGATGAGGGACCAGGCAGAGGTGCAATGTGCACAGGAGCCCCCTCCCCAGGGAAAACCAGAAGGCACATGGAGAGTGTCGGGAACACGACAAGAGAACGCGGTGTTTTCTTCCTTTCTCTCTGGGCATAGGGTGCCACCAAAATGCTGCTGTCCTAGTGAATCCTTATTAAGTTTAGCTCCAGCTACTGGTTATTCTGAAGAAGGCAAAGAAAATTCAAGGGCAGACTGATTTGGAGGCCACATAACATATTTCACATTGTTTTCCTGTGATTTTATAGTAACAAGAAGAAATACTAACTACCCAAGCCATGCACCCTTCTAGCAACCCTCATGCTCTAGAAAAGAAAAGCAAAGACGACAGATAAAAATGAGAGAGAAAACCTCCAGGAGAACTCACTCTGAGGGCAGAGCCCTCCACAGGAGGTACAAACACAGGGGCCAGTGAGGCCGAGAGAGCCTGGTCCTCTCCCAGCCTGGCCTGTCGAGCAGCCAGTGGCAGGCCCCCTTGCTTGTTTCATGGCAAAGTTCCCACTCCAGAAAATTCAAACCTAACAATTCACAGAAAAGAAGAAAAATGTCCTTCCCCTCTCATCTTCCAAGCCTTTCCATTTTGGTAAAGATTTTATAAACATTCTTAGAAAGAGTACATTCTCTCTCCTCTGCCCACAGGTAACAAGGGATGGCAGATGTTTCAGGAATAGCACATTATAAAAAAAAAAAAAATCCAATGTCACTAAAACCAGAATGGAAAATGTTTTATACATTAACAAACATTGTAATGAATTTGCACAACCTTAACCGACTGTATACCCAGCATAATGAAATGGTCTCCATCCTTTCAAAGAAAAAATTACGTATGCTAGCACATAGCTTTAGAAAAGCATTGTTCTTTAAAAAAAAAAAAAACCTGCATTTTTCCCAGCTACCATGTAATTTGTGAGATGCATTTTTAAATGATCTGCAACAGCAGCGGCTTCATCAGTCAGATGATACCGATAGATAATTCACCAAACCGTCACATGATCTTCCATCACTCTAAAAGACGCGAATATATTGCCACAAGCTTTGGGAATAATGGGTGCACCTGTTTACGGTGTCACCTCTGTTTGCTAATTGTCTCCTTGAGCTACATTTTACTTCTAATGCATTTATTTTTGACAGGCAGTGTCTATTTAGAAATCACATTACTTCAAGTGCAATTGTTCTTTTGTCTATCAAGTAAATGAAGTGTTGTTATACAGATTTCAGGTTCTGATTAGTAAAGTATCAGAGCCCCAAAAAGGTCAATCAGTTATTTACCTGAGGTAATAGAAGGATGACAGACATCTTGAATATTCTCCAGCTCATGCTATAGGCCATTTTACTATAATTACTCAACCCCGTCAAACTTTAACACACATTCCCGGGGTCGGCAGCGAGGAAGGCCCTCCCAGCACAGGTCTAGAGACGGTGCCACGCAGAACAGCAGGCAGGTGGGCCTGGTGCTCACGTGCATGGGTGACACCAAATCAAACACGCAGTCCTGCAAACGCCAACAATGTGGCCAAACGAGCGTAGGGGGAGGTGGGTGCCTCTCTGTTGGCTTGGATGAATTCTCCCATTAAAATAGATATTTTAAAATAATTTTTCAAATCATTTTACTCTTCAGGTCTGATTTGATGAGTTAGTTCAGATCAATATGAAGGTAATTACAAGTGAAACAAAAAGCCGAAAACTGTGGAAAAGTAAACAGAGCTGTCTGTGAAAGCCAGAACCAGCTAGAACCAGGACTGCCTTCGACTTCCGCTCTAGAGCAACTTGGAGCCAGCCGCCTCCACGGATGGCCACGTGAAGGCCATGCCAACTGACACTGGGCTGTGGCATCTACATATGTATGAGGACAGGCTGGGATGACTTACCAGAGCACAAGCCAGCAACCAGATTTGCGCAGACATTAACATACTCCGGTTACATAACCAGGAGATGTTCGCATTTGAAGTGAGAAGGTAACCTGAGCACCAGCTCCTTTCCTGGTGTTCAGATCCAAACGTCTAAATCTCAAGCACCCTCAAATTATTCCTATAGATCATCCATCCACCTGACTTACCGCCTCAAAAGCGACCCAAACCATGAATCACAGAGACAGGTCTATATTTAGGAGTCACTTGTCTCTTAAGTGGATCATCTGCAATTTCTTTTTTATTCCTCCCCATCTCTCTATTCATGAATCGTAGGACTCGCTCCCCTCCCTCCCCGCCTGTGCTCACCCCTCACCATGTCTCACACTTTTCAGTTACCCTGGTGTAGCATCCAGCCGAGCACCAGACCAGTAACCACTGTCCCCACCAGGCCTTGCACACACAGAGCCTCTCACTGGGTCATAAGGTCCAACACACCCCTCTCCTGACACCCCCCTCGTATACACCTGTGCACGGTGGTCACCCCAGGCAGGCGGCCAAGCTTACGGAGAATTCCAGAGACCACTGCTACTCAACACATTTGCCAAAAGAAAGAGACACGGAAAGCCAGGCTCGCCTTAAGTCACATTCTAAATTGGCTCCCTGGAGCCTTCCTTCCCTTGTTCACTAAAGACTGTGTGTGTTTCCTCAGTGTTTAGCATATGCTATGTAACCTGAGCAGGACTTCCATTGTATCACTAGTTGTTTTTCCAAAGAGTTTTCCCATCAGGACCATAATTATATGCAAACTACTTGACTTAGAACCATTGGCAAACATGTTTTAAATGTTCACGAGGATTATTCCACCACTTACAAGCAAGAAAAGGGGAAGATACAGGAATGCTTTCTTGGGGACCCCAAGGCCAGTGTGATGGGGGAGCCCCGACATGGAGAGCCACAGATGATCCTCAAGAAGCAAAATCTCTGCGCCATTTTCTCCTGGAGCGACGAGGAATGTCCTCTTCATTCTGCAATTTATTTCAACTCTAAGTACTCTAATCATGGGAAGTACTTTTTGCTTTTTAAACAGCCTGCTTGTTTTTACAGGTCAAGAGCATAAATAAAACAGTCAAGTTGGAAACTTGGAAAGCTCGTTTGCAGGAGAAGGAAGCAGCTACAGAAGGTGCAGTCGTTCAACAGCGGGCAGCTAAGGAGGCCGCTCACCCCCGTGGGAAAGCCTGACCCCGGAGGGCCAGCACTATAGGAGGGTCCTAGAGCACCCCGTCCTCTTCTTGGGGCAAGCCAGCACCGCACAGGGGCGGTCCTACCTAAATTGAAAGGTTCTAATGCAAAGCAACCTCCAAGCCCAGGGTAAACAGTGGTGGGCTGAGAGGCGGGCGCGTGGCACGGTCTGCAGACGCGCGCTGGGCTGCGCTGGGCCGCCCCGAAAGAGTAAGGATCCTGGGTGCCAACTAGGAAATGTACTCGCGTCACCACTAAGTAGCTCCTGATGAACAAAGCCAAGTGCCTACCACTTACAGTACAGGATCCAAACACTAGATAGTAGACCATTTCTCAATTGCAGAAGGTTTGGGGAAAATGAGACGCCTTGAAGCCTACATTTCTAAGAGGGTTAATACCTTTACCAAAAAGAAAAAAAAAGGGAAGAATGGGAGGGAGGAGAAAAACAATCACTCTGCATTTTTCATATGAGAAATCACATAGGTGTGCCTCCCGTCAAGAGCGGAGATCATAACCAAAGAACCCATATTCATTTGTGGATCACACATCACACACACACACACACCGCACACACACAATTGCTGATAAGGCTGATGAAAAAACAAGACTCACGAAGCACCATGAAAACTCACTATCAAGACCAGTGCCATTGGAGCAGAGAGAGGGGACTACAGTAAAGGGGCTACTGGAGGAAAAAATTTCTGGGACAACTTCGAGAACTGGAGATAACTTCCTGTGTCTGAAGGAAGACAGCTGTCACGGGATGTTTGGGGCTATACCCGCAGAGGACAGGACAGGGTAGGCCATGGCCCACCAAGGCTGATGCCAGAGACTAGGCAGGTCCCTGCCTCCCATGATGCCAGGCAGAGAGCACAAAGAATGACAGGGCTGGTGGCAGCTGAAGGCCACAATCAGCCACCGGATCACATTTTTATTGCTACCTTCGCTTCTATTTTTTCGTATTCTGCATGTGCTAGAAGAGTCCCTACCCCTCCCCTTTCTTTTTATCAAACATTCCTAATGTAGTGATAAAATGAGGAAGAATGAAAGATTATTATAAAACAGGACTTTTATGGCTAGCGTCTACGGAACAGTCACACTGTTACATATATTTTCTCTAAGTAATCAGGAATGTATTGGTATTTTGAAATTATGTATCTCTAATAACACAAAAGTACTTAAGAACAGAAATAGACAGTAATGGAAAATGCAGTCAACTGTTGACAACATATAGAATTTCTGAAAATAATTTGCAGAGAACAGCACAGCAGATGAGTCAAAATTTTCACAAAAATATTTCTTGCCTCCGATAGTCCAATGTAATTCATTTTCTATCTCTGTTCATTAATCATTGTTAAAATTAGTGATCCATTTCTTCCACTCTGCCATCTGCACTCAGCTTCGTAACAAACATGACACCTTCCTGCATAATAAAACCTGACAACTACTAGGATGCATTTCCAAATAGCTTTCTGCATATTTGCACCTCTATAACAGATTCCGTCGTCAGACAAAAGTGGATTATTTAACCAGAGTTCTTTCTTTATCAATTCTGAACACAGATGTGCGTGAGTGTGTATGTGTGTGTTAAAATGCGATCCAGAAAAATCCGTTAATTTTAATTAAAGTGAATTTGTCCTGCCTTCAGTAGAAGGTATTTTAAATCCAGGTTATGCCAGCCAATATCACTCAGCAGAAGCACAGTTGGAAGTATTATGCTTCAGATATGAAGTTTACGTAAATAATTCGTGGCTTCGTCTTGTAAACTTTTCTAATAAAAATGATCTTGACATTCCAACCTCCTAAAAAAATTTCATTTTAATATCCTGCTTTATTTTGTTTTTTTTAGTCTTTGATCACAGAATTTCAAATAAATATTTTTAGGGAAAGACAAAACAATCAAGGAGCAGGGCGATACAGACGAGAACACCAATGAATAATTAAACACATGCCAAGCGTTCCCTTGGGGAAGCCACCACTGGGTCCAAACCACAGGGAAGCATTCTTGGTCCTCCTGGATGCCATGCCATGTGGTGCTGATCAGTGTGACGGTGACGAGGACGGAGACAAGGAGCTACAAAGCGGGACCTTCTGTTTACCCTCTGACAGAGCAGCCTCTTGGAAGCAAATCTATGGGCTTTCAAGAAATGAGTGCCCACTTGAATGGCAGAGCAGATCTGCATCCTGCAGCCAGCCTGGACCGAGGGGGAGACAATGAGGCGGCTCCAGGGAGGTCCAAGGTGCAAGGAGCCACTTGGACTTCTTTACTCCTTTTGCCCACTCCCAGCCCTCTCTTCTCTCATTGCCCCTTCCAATGAATATGGCACATCCTATCCAGGGACCTCAAAAATCCTCAAGAAACACATTTCCAAGCAATTCAGCCTCCTGCATGTAACCCCAGCACCTGCCCGGCTCTGTACCAGGGAAGACCTTGAGGTGTACGAAGGTGCCTCCACCCGAATCAGCCCTCGAGGAGCTTGCCACGCGGTAGGAAAGACAAGATGCATGCAGACGTTTCCAGACCAGGACAGAGCAATGCAGACCAGCCAAGGGCAAACTCCTCCTCACCTGCCGCAGGTGGGGCTGGAAGAGCACCCGGGGAAGACGCAGAGACAAGACAGCATCTGAGCTGATCAAGACATCAACAGGCCAAGTCAAAGAGGACTAGGATCCTGGCAGCAGCGAAGGCTGGCAGGGGATTGCACCCAGGCATCCGGGGGGTGTTTGGGCTGGACTGAGGGGCAGGAACAGGAGCGGCCAGGCCCCTGTCTCTGAGGAGTCATGGGCACAGGAGGAGGCTGAAGAGGTAACAACCCGAGAGCAGAGACGACAAATCACGGGCGAAGTCAAATACAGTGACAGAGAGAACACACAGCTCTATAAGAAACCGCACTTTCTTTGAAATTAAGGGAATGGCCATTTAATGAGTGTTGGCCAATGAATCTGCCTGTGTGTCTGTGCCTGTGTCTGTGTCTGTCTCTCTCTCTGTCTCTCTCTGTCTCTCTCTGTCTCTCTCTCTCTCACACACACACACGCCTATTGACAGAGCAGAACTTTTTGTCTAATCCCCACTCCTCCCCCCCGACCCGTTTATCTTTCTCTGTCCTCACAGCCTGGTGTGGAGCTTGGAGCAGATCCCCTAGCTAAGCCTGATTAGAATGAGAACAGTCAAAAGACAAACTTTGCAAAAATCAAGGTTTAAAATAGAAATAGCAACTGACCCTCAGCTGCACTGCTGCCGGCTGGGACAGTGACAATAGCTACTCTTTTGTTAAACTTTCCTGTGAGACGAGCTCACCAGACTGGGGTGGGTGTGTGTGTCTGTCTGTCTCACATATGAGAGAGTGGGAGAAAGGGTTTAAAATAGCCATGGCTTATAAAAAAAAAAATTAATCGCAAATTACCATTCATCCCTCCGCAGGCAAAATGTTTGTTGATTCATTTAACATATACAAAACCCAAAGCTTCCCTATAAATATTTCAGAACTTGAAACCTTCCGTTTTGTCCCTGGCCCCAAACAATGACACGCACACCAGCGCGCGCGCACACACACACAACTACGGGAGTGAGAGTGGGGAGGAGGAACCCCTCCCCCAGGCATTGTCTCCCAGCCGCGCGCCTCCAGCCTGGAGTTCCCTCTCTCCCCTTCACGTGTCTGCATCCTGACACATTCAATTTCAGGTTATCAGCACATCTGAATTATAGAATACTGATGGGGATAGAGGGCAGGCCTCTCCGGGCTGATTAGCACCATTTAAGAAAGCTTTCGCCAGCCGGCTTCACTGGCTGGGAGCGCCACCATGGTGGGTGGCCTTTCTGTATTAGAAGTCAACACGGAGCTGTCTCATTTGAATTAAATATGGACAAAAAGAAAGATCTGATTATGCTTATTCATAGCTAACCTTTCAAGTTCACCAGGCTGCCAAACTTGGGAGTGAAAACTGAAAGTTTCTTTCCTGTGTGTCTGGGTTGTTGAGTATTCTTATTTTCTCTTGCAGTTTTTCAGTGTCTGAAGCATGTGTGTGTGTGTGTGTGTGTGTGTGTGTGTTTATATTTCAGCCTAGCCCAGTCAGGGAGTTTCTTTCTAGAAAGGTGCCTCAGTAAGGATTCAGGGACGAGCTTTTAACTTAGACACAGACAACAATGGAAGGGGAGGTTTTGATTTTAATTCATAAATATATGAAAATAAGCACATACACATACAAATTTGGCTGTAGGAGACCTTCTTGCAATAGATTGAGTAGCTGAAAATTTGATTAGCACAAATAAATTTCTGACATAGGGCCGAGTGGGGCAGCGATTCAGAAAAGACCTCAGCGTACCGAACACTGGCATCACCGAGTTGAGAATAATACCATCATTCATGGTGGCATTTAACTTTACATCTACGCTCTCACAGACACGCACACACCCCATTATTTTTAATTCCCCTCCCTCCCCAGCATGGGTGAGTCCTTCAACGCTGAGTTAATAAAAGGAGCAGGGAGTCTCTGAGAGTTCCCGTGGGTCCAGCTGCTGACCCCAAGGGTGACGGCAGCAGAGTGTGGGTGACAGCCAGGGCCAGGCACTGTCTGTGGCTCAGTCCCGGGTTCCAGGCTCGGAGCAGGAGATGCTCTCTGACATAACCAAGCTAGAGACCAGTTCGGGTCCCACTGGGTTCAGTTTAACAAATATTTATTGGGCTTCTGCTGTGGGCCAAGCACTGTGCTGCATCCTGGGTTTTCACAAAGGAATGCCACCTGCTCCCCCCACCCCCTCCGTCCTTTGCCCTGGTCCGCCCATCTGTGGCCCGTCAGGCACATCCCCCCTCCTGCCTGTCCACACTGGGCCTGAGTTCTCCACACTTGCCCCTCTGAGCGCCCACACCTGACAGGGTCACCTGGCACACCCGCCTTTGACAGGTCGTTCCCCTGGGGTCAGCAAACTCTTCAAGGGCAGAAACCACACCTCGTCCTCCCAAGAAAGTCTCAAATACTGAATCAACCAAACCTGGCCAGCCATGGGACACAGAGAAGGAGACTGAGTGTGAGCACAGTAGAGCCGGGGCAGTCTCCTCCCCGAGGGGTGCCCAGTCCCCACCCTGACCCCACCACCGCAGGGAAGTGACACCACTGCACCTCCATTCTTCACCAGCCACCCCCAGCCCCTCGGAGCACCCAGCAGCTAAGACCCCTGTGAGCGCTGCAGCAAGACACGTCAGTCCCCGGCTACGTCGCTCCTCCAAGTATGTAACCGCCACGGAGCCGCCCACCCCAGGGCCGTGCAGGGGTCCTGGCAATGGAGCACAGGGGTGCCAAGCCACAGCTTTGGGACACTACAAGTAAAACACAGCCTGTAGCAAGACACCAGGAAGGGGGCTCCTGGTGGCCTCTGCGCCAACACAGGGCCTCTACTTTGACTGCGTGTGTCCAAAGTTGCGCATCACAGTGTTTCTGCCCTTTTGATCCCTCAGGAAAGCTTGGTGGGACAGTTTGATGACTGCCTCTGGCCCACTGGACCTCAGGGACTCTGTTCTGGGCAGCAGCCATGCTGGAAGGGAAGGATGAGCCAGACTCACCCCCGACCCCCGGGGTCTCTCTGCTGAAGAAGGGGCACTGGGCTCAGTGTTCTTATTCGTCTTTTATGGTTTGGTGGAGTTTTTCTTTTATGGAACACCACTGTCGCCACCTAAACCAAACCTACATTTCTGGAAGGGGTGAAGCAGATTTCTCATGGCTCTCTTTGAACGTGCAGATCTCCCATGGTGCCAGTAATTGCATCGCCAACGAGACGAGGAAGTGTCCCCATGAGCTGCCTGAAACACGAGGGTGGGCGGGACTCGTATCAGGAAAACACGCACCCCGGGTGTGGCGGCCATACTCTGCCCAGAGCCTGCGCCCACCGGGGGCTTTGCTGCCGGCGACCGACCCGCGCTGCAGCCATCCACGAACCACAAGCCACCTTCCCAATTTCTGCCATATCTCATGTACCTGGACTGTTATTTACTTAATACTTTTCTTTAAATTAACTTTAAATCAATTCACTTTTTTTTTTTAAACTTAGGCTCACCTTAAGCAAGAATGTCTGCGAAATCACAGCTAGGATGTGCTAGTTATATTTTTCTAATAGGTCTTAAAATATCCAACTGTTAAAATTTAAAATCTATATATCATCTAAAATAGCCTCATGAAGTGGGAGCCGCATCTGGAGAGGCCTCAAGAACGACAGCCTAGACTGGGGGGCAAATGAGATGGCCAGTTGTCTGAGGGCGTAGGGCACGTGGGCTTGGTCTCCCACCCATCTCGGGGAGCAGGACCGGTTTGTGGGCACGGAGGGCAAGCCCGCCCATCTGCGTCTGCCGCCTCTTTCTCCGAGGGCTTCACAATTCACCAGATACTGCGCCTTAAGTATGGTGGCTGGTGCCTGGGGCATTATTTCCTAACAGAAAGGCCTGACCACATCACTTTCTAACCTAGAGAAGGACCCTCAGTAGCAACACAGTGAGTGGCCAACGAATTTCACTCTGATTCTGTCCTGAGCTCATCACCAAGAGTTTATCTCACTGCCGAAAAGCTCTCCTTGAGAAAAGCAAATGCTGGCACACCAGTGAGGCTGGTCTTGTGCTTCCGCCACCAGCCCTTCCTCCTGGCCCCTCATGATGATCACGCAACTGTGACTCTCCCACCCAAAATATGCCAGCAGAAGCTCTACAGTGGGGAGCAGGAGCCTCTTACCTGACCCAGCAAAGTCTAAACAGACAGCTGAGTGACGGAAGCGCAGGTATTTTCACACCTGAACAACTGCTCAGAGGGTCCCCAACCTGGACAGGGAAATCTTCATCCCCTGCACGAGGCAGGACGAGAAAGTCCAAGAGCAGACACCTTACACTGACCTGTTGCATTATGAGTCGACAGAACTCTCTAGAATTCATGCTGAGAATAAATGTATGTAAGACACCCAAGTCACCTCTACATTTTCAATATCCTTATGATCAAGTGGTAAACCTCTGAAAGAAACCCCAACAAGTGAACTCCAAAAGAGGCAAAGAGAAGTATCTAATGACCGTTCGTCTGTCCTTCTGCATTTTAGCCAAACAACTCAGCCAATGACACAGCTTATTGGATCTAAATGCTTGTGGTGTGGCCTCTGGGGAGACCAGTACAAGTCCAGCAGACGAGGAAAGTGCCAGAGTGCACACGTGTGTAGGAGGGCACACTTCCAGTCTTAAAAAAGCCACTCCCGTGTTCTATGCCCTAGAGCAGTGGTTCTCAGGCTTTGCTGCACTGGAACCTCCTGGGGCTCATCGAGACAGACACTGGGCCCCACCCTAGTCTCTGACACGTGGGTCTGGGCTGGGGCCTGAGAATCTGCGTTTCTGACAAGCTCCCAGGTGATGCCAACGCTGTTGGTCCAGGACCACACTTGACAATCACAGCCCTGGGTTATCTCAGGACCCTGAAGCTGCGTGGCTTCTGTAAGGGAGCGACTGCATCCCTGTTCCCCAGTGTATCACTTGGGTAATTTGAAATTTTTGATCACCAGAAGAGTGTGAGGTCTTTTCTCTTTAAAGTGTAATCACCCATATATGAAAGCATCAGAATATAAATGACGCAGAAAAAGCAAAGACGCCGGATGCACGTTCCTATTCTAGGCAAAATCACCACCACCACCACCTCGTGAAAAATAAAGTAAAATAAAGGAGAGCTTGAGTTGCTACAAGGTTCTCTCAAATTTACCCTCAGAAACATCATAGGTTTCAGGTAATTTGCTTGTCTTTAAGAAAATTATCAGAAATCCATGATACTTTTAATGGTATACTTACTTCAATGTAACGACAAAAAAAAATTTTTTTTAATTACTATATATGACTTAGGTACTCAAGAACTAGTAACAGGGGCCAGCCCAGTGGTGCAGCAGTTAAGTTTGTGCATTCCACTTCGGCAGCCCAGGGTTCACGGGTTCAGGTCCCGGGTACGGACCTACGCACTGGTTGTAGAGCCATGCTATGGCAGGCGTCCCACACATAAAGTGGAGGAAGATAGGCACAGATGTTAGCTCAGGGCTAGTCTCTCAGAAAAAAAACAGGAGGATTGGCAGCAGATGTCAGTTCAGGGCAAATCTTCCTCAAAAAAAAAAAAGAACCAGTAACATAAAAATATACATTATTGTAAACCATCCGTCTATCAAATGGTGCCAATCTGTTGAGATGACCAAGGCACGCAGCCCTGAAGACTCTGGGTTGTATCTGGTTATCTGTGAAGCTTGCTCTTCTCTCGGGTTAATAGGTGGATGGAGTTTCAAAGCCCTCCTGTCACCAGAGTCACTGGAAGTGGCTTGGCAGTGAACTGGGTGTGTAGTGTTATGTGGGTGACATCGTAGTGTTTACCTTATTCGCAGCTACCAATGACGTTTCCAGGGCTGACCACTTCTAGTAAACCCCCAAAACAGGCCTGACTCCTCATTCACTGATGTGATATTTGTAGCCAAAATGGCGCGAGAGGGCGAGCAAACTCCTCAGCTATTCCTCATGGGGCACCTATCAACGCGAGGACCAGAGGGAAGACGGGGAAGAAGGCCAGGAGTGGAAGGGAGGCAGCCAGCAGCAGAAACAGCTGTGGCCATCACCTCTGTTCTCAGAGAGTCTAAGAACCCTCGCGATAAGGTCGCTCACTTCACACACTCCACCTTGACCAGGTCAAGGACAGCCTTCTGAAAAGGACATTCATCCAACTGCGGTTTTCTGGGCTCCAGAGTTGGAACAAAGAAGAAGCAAGCCCCCCTGACTGTTTGAGTGAGCACCTCCTCCCTCCAGACAGCAGACCAGTCCGCCCAGGAGCGGCATCAGCTAGCTGACCATACGCTGGCCTCGCAGTGACCACCTTCCCTCCCCAAGAGTCTCAGCCCCTCCCGGGAGGCAGGCCAGCAACCGCATCAAGGCCCAGGGTATTCTCCAGCACCACACTGTTTAGTTCTTCATTGTAAACAGAGTCGACCTAAAGCCGGTCAGCTGCTAGCCACATGGTGGTAAGGAGCCCAAGAGCCTGGAGTTCACAATTCTTTCAGATTTACTCTCTTCCTGATCTTTCATTTTATCAGCAAAACATCCTCTTGGCAATGGGTATGAAGCTAAAACTTAAATGAAAAGAAACGCAAGGAAGAGCCCTCGGAAGGCATGGCGTATGAAAGGAAAATATTCAGACCTCAGCCTTGGCCTTGACCTTTGACTGTCTTTTAACATTAAACATTTGCCCCACCTTCGAAAAGATAAATGTGGCTTTTGATGACAGCCAGTGTTATCTGAGGATTAAAATAGCCCTCTTGCAGCGCTCAACATTAAAGTCTTCCGCATTTGCAAAATTGCAAACAGATGCAACTCAAGTACCTGCAAATAATCTGCCAAGACCAATTTCAAAAGGGAGATTTCAAAATATGTGGAAGTCATTAGGACATGTATTATTTTTGCAATGAATAGGCGCCAGGAGTGTCTCAAGGAGCAGATGGGTGCTACTTTGTTTATAAAAGATCAACAGAATATTCGGCTGTAAATGAAGACATATAAGCTATATGAAACAATTATGGTAAAATGGCGAACATTTCAAAGCTAATTGTAATGGTCTTTTAAGATCTGAATTCCTCATTTCTTACTGCATGCTAAAATATCATTTTAGTTTTGGGTCTTGATTGATATAATTACCAAAATGACAGAAAATTAAAGTAAATG